ATGCACTAAATACTGAACAATGTCAAACATGCTGTCCTGTAAACAAGTATTTCCTCCATCAAACTTATATGTTTCAGCTGAAGTTTTAATATCAGACAAAGGTAATATAACATCCAGTGAACATTCAGTTCTTAGATTTAGGGAGAAGTTACTCGCTCCTCTACTTACACAGGTACTATGTTGTTGCCCCCAAAAGGGAAAAAATCTGTAAGGGTGAAATAATCTTTCTTATCCAAGGTCAGCCTTCACTTCTCATTTTTACATCTTGTTACATTTGATTAAAAAAATAGCAGACATTTCCATCTAACAGTTTCCTTTTTTCAGTTTAAGGTTTATGGAGCAACATTCAGCAAAGTCAACATTTCACCAAACTTGTGTTATAACAGCTTGAGTTCGTAGACATTTAGATTAAAACAAAATGAAATTCTGCAAATAATTACTGTAATTTATGGGAACAATTCTTAATGAGTGATAATTTTGACAAGTCGTTGTCACAACAAGTGATTGTTTTTACAGAGCAAAGACCTGCTGTCAACATGTCTCTTGGTTTGGCGATGGCAAATGATCCGTCAACACGAAACACAATGGTGAGAGGATGAGCTGCAGAAAATAATGAATAAATAATGAATGAAAATATAAAGGTATATTATTCACACCTTTTCCAGGTCTGTGGTCCAACCATTCCCAGAGACTGCAAAACTATCACCATGTACAACGGTTTGTGCTATGAGATCAATCGATCTAATACGTTTGTAAAGTCTTACCCGTCTGCGACTGAAGGTAGGCACAGTGAGCTTGTTTCATAATAATTATGTCACTGCCTCTGTAAACTGGAGGTGAACTTTCTCATCAGCACACTTGAATAACGGTCAGGAAACTGATCTAGATCTCTGATTTCTTTTCAGAGTGTCGAACCCAAGCTGACATTGCATTTCTGCTGGATGGCTCAGGCAGTGTAGCTCCCAGTGATTTTAGCAGAATGAAAGAATTTGTGAAAAATATGATCAGATTATTCCTGGGAAGAGATACACAGGTGAGACCTGTGACTTCATCACAAACATTGTTGTTGCTGCTTTTCTAAGTGTACATCTCCTTTAAGGTCGTTGCTGCTTTTAATTTACTGTAGTTGATTTTTACTGAAAGTAGTTTCAACTTCATATCCATTTTTTCTTTTTTGCAGTTTGCCATCACCCAGTTTTCTTATTATCCAACAACACATTACTACTTTAATACTTTTAGCACTTTCAACTGGGAATCTCAAATTAACAACATCCGTCAATTTGGTGGAGGAACATATACAGCTGGAGCCATACAAAATGTTGTGTAAGTATTTCTGACATGTTAGTGTGTAATACACTACATTAAGTCAACATTATCATGGAGAAAGCTTAAATGGACAAAATGACATTTAAATCTGATCATGAAAAGTTTAGAAAGTCCCTTCTTCTGTTTAAACAGACAAATATTGTTTTAGCAAGTAATGTGTGTTTACCCACTAGGAAAACAATTATCAATGTAACTCAGAGAAGATTCCAGATTGATTTTGATGTGCACAGAATACGACAATCTTTTTGAAGTCAGATTATTTTTTACTTAGTTCGTATAGATAAAAAGAGCTATACTGTTACCCTTGTCTTTAAGATATTGCAAAGAAACTAGAAGCATTTACTTTTGTCTACTTCATAGTTGCACAAATGATAAAAAATAAAAGCAAATCAGATGAAACTACTTAATAAAAGATGAGAAAAATAGACAGCATAAACTACTGTCATGCACTTGATGTATGACATTAGTTTAAAATAAAGAAAATGTTTATAGTCTAAGATTATTACAGACCCGACGTACTAAGGAGCAGTACATGAAGTATTTCCTGCTTGAGGTGGTCAGACGTTATACATATGTAGCCTCTAGAGACGTGACTTAAATGAGTATATTTTTTAGCAACTGATTGAGTGATGTGTTTTCAAGACCAGACTGATCATTATTTATTGATGTTTGTGTTTTTTTTATTGTTTTCATTTTTAATCCAGGACAATATTTAAACATTTCTGATAGCCACAACATTGGTAAAATAAAGGCTACAACATGTAGGATGGAAACAACCCAACACTGCAGTTTGTTCACATTACATTTCTTTAAGGGATTTGTGTTAGCCTAAATATGTTGTATTTTTCCTATTAAAACAAATGCTGTTTGTGATACACCAAGGGTGTCCAAAGTCGGTCCTCGAGGGCCG